AAAAAATTTGACTTTGTTTTCTGAATGATTACATACAATGCTCATGTGCAGGAATTATTTTCATTCCTTTGTGAACCGTTCCCTAATTATAGAAAAGGTAATGTTTTCTTAATTCCATTACAAAAATCGTTGCAATATATTTTATCCTGTCTAGAATCTGGGGCCTTGTATAGAGCTTTATCTGTAGCTTGGGTTTAACTTTCACTTTTTATTAATAAAAAAAGATAGCTGGTTCTTTGGTTATCTTAGGAAATTATAAAGTTGTAGTGCTCCAGATAGACTGATAATAAAAACAAATGGGAAAAACCAAGGCAGCAGAAAGTAACAGAAAAGTGAATGGAAAATAAAAAAAGGCGTCAACCATTGGTGAAGCTTCTGCACCACCTATGTAGATCACTGCACTTCCTGAAGCCTGTTGACTTGAGCCACTGTCGGATTCGGCCTGCAAAGTACACCTTGTAGTATCGGGGCCAATATTTTCAGTGTAAACTCCCTTCCAGGTTAGGGTTTGGGGGTGTTTAAGAGGTAACTTAAGCTAAGTGGGTACAACAGCAGAGAAATTCTGCTGAAATTGATTGTTCTTCTAGTGAATGGGTCTGAGCCTTAGAGATTGGTCAAGTCAAATTGCAATATGGAGTGCCTGGGTATGATTCCTAAAAGTCCTACATTTAAAATAAAAGGCAGCTGTGATTCCACACACGGTTACTTGGGCTGTGCATGCAGCTCGGGTAATTGTATATGAAAATAGCTAGCTAGGTGGCCAACTAGACATTTGTGTATGCAGTCATGCAGTTTACACACACAGTCACAGGAATTGTGGACAGTCATATTTGAACTCTTATGAGTTTATTCATGGATCTGAGCATTATCTTGAAAAATTGGCCCTACTTGTGCACTGTGTTTTGTATTTTACAGAGGTCGCTAGCCCGTTCACTTGATTGAGAATCTGGCTTGTGCAGTTATGATACATACTCATGTAGACCAGATCCAGTTCTCTAATTACACACAGTATAATTCACTGATTCACAAGAAAAATCTGTTAAACTCTTGATAATGATTTAAGTAAATACCTTAACATTCAAATATAACCAGAGCAGCTGGTCCAGAACAGGAAGAGTAGGTCGTAGCTGCCCTGTTCATCGGGAGTCTGCAAAAACCTGCAATTCAGACAGAAGGGAACACTACCCAGTCTGAAGACGCTAGTAATAGTCTGTCAGGTTTACCTACCCATTTTTAGATGTTTCGAGCCACAATCAAACACAGCTGGCATTGCCTTTTAGCATTTTTTAAAATTACCTTTGGTTGCTCTCAAAGCCATGACATTGCTTCCACCTTAAGAAAAAACATGGTATATAAAAATCCTCTTTGAGGAAACTTAATCTTGAAAGGTGCCAGTGTTTTGCTGTGCATTTCTCTAATTAGATTAAATTAAATTATAGATGTATTCATGGTGGAACTTCGTGGCACGAGACGCACCTTCTTCTCTGGAGTAGTGTGGAAGGATGCATGTTGACTGTGGCATGTTAGTGGTGTCCCTAGCCCCTGTTTACCAGAAGCTGGGAATGGACAACAGGGGATGGATCGCTGATGATTAGCTGTTCGGTTCATTATCTCTGGAGCCCCTGGTTTTGGCCACTGTTGGAAGACAGGATATTGGGCTAGATGGACGTTTGGTCTGACTATGAGGATACTTCCAGGGGTCCCAGCACAGTGCCTCTTGCTACACTTGTTGCAAAGATGTAGCCTGCACTCTCCAAGACATTCCCCTGTAGGTATATGCTGGTGTGCTGGGGGAAGAGAGGGCAATGTCTCCATCCTACTGAATTAGACAACCTCCCCCACAACTGCTTGACTTGTTCCCCTCTTTCACTCCAAGATATGTAGACAGAATAAAGCATAATTTGGCCAATTTCAGAGCTACAGTCTTCCAAACTCTTAACAGCTTTCAAGTACTGAGCATATCAAAATATTTCCTATTATTTTGTTTTGTTCCAATTTGGATTGCACAGCTGTATCAAATACTTGCTTTGCCCCAATCAATGCAACTGTGTCAGTTTTCACACATTAAATTTGGGATGCACCTGAATACCTGGGAATATAACCTTATACTTTGCTTAATACTATAACCTATATAATGTGTGCCTATCCCTATAATTTAAATATGCATGGCTGCAGTCCAATCTTTAAGTTTTACTCAGGAGAACTGATACATTGTAATTGGATTCCCTTCAAATACATCTGTTTTGGGGTTTTTTATTAATGGTAAAATTTCTCCTATCTGTAAATCATTTTGAGATGCTTAGTATGAAGGATGTTGCATAAAAGTACTTTGTATTGTATTCCTGATGCACTTACTGAAACCCAGTTTCGAGTTATATATTCCTTGGCATAATTAGTTTTTTTTCCCACTTGCAGCGGTGTCACATGCTTATTAGAGGGTCAGTTGTTGGTCCTTGAAACTACATAAGAGATTGTTCTTGATAGTATTCACTGCAGACAGTGCCATTTGTTAAACTGAACCACTTTCAAACATTTTTCATTCAGTTATCAGTCAGAGATACGATAACTTGTCAGACAGTTGTGAGACAGAGGCGCTATATGTGCATTGTATATACTTTTTCCCTTCATAATGATAGCATTCCAGACTCTAGTAACCATCAAATGAGTATTTATATGTCTGTCTTTAATTTAGTTTACCATACTTCCCTGATTTAAGGACCTATTAAGCTTAAATATACATGGGCTTCTGGGACCATACAGCTGTTCTGAAATGCAGCACGTACATTAGACGTATCTATTCCAGAAAAAGGTCTGCCCGCTGTCCAAGTAAAATAAATTGGAGGGGCTCAAAGCTTCTGTGTAGTGGCCACTGAGCACCACTATTCCTGATTCCTGGTCTGTCTCCTCATCTCCTGCTGGGATTCTTCAGAAATCCAATGGTGAGAGGGGCGGTTGCTTTTTATAATCACCTTTCCTGCCCTCAATTCGTGATCAAGACCTCATCCCCCAGTGCTGTTATAAGAAGGGAAGTTTCACCTGCTTAGTAGTGAGTTCCTCCTTTCTCTTCCCTTCATTGCCATGAGGGGAAAGTGCCTTCAGTTGGATGTGCCCCCAGCCCAGTCTTCTGTCTCTCAGTGGTATTTGTAATGAGGACATTAGCCAGGGAGAAATTATAGTGACAGCACTCTCTTAGGCCGCTGAGAAGACTTCTGTCTTCCTGTAACTGAACTGCTGAGGGAGCGTGTTTTGTTGCTGTGGGCCAAGTTGAAGCTTTTTTTATTCGTATGTTTACTTACTCTTTTGGAGACAAGTGAACATATCCAGGGGGCCTTCCCCAGTTTCCTGCAATCAGGTTTTGATTCTCACTGACCTAGGTCTTTGGAAGGAAGGTTGAGACTGGATTACAGCTATCCTACACCATGAAAGGGGAGAGGTTTTCAATTTAGGAGTAAGGACTGGTGGGTGACAACTGCCCTGTAGTGTCAGGAGGAAGTTGTTTAGGCACATGTCAAGGGGATAGGGGAGGAACCTCTCTGTTTGGACTGGGGTATACTCTTGGATGAGTGATTTCTGGGGATTGTAAAATGGCATTTTTATCTTATTCTGGGGTCATTGAGAAATTTGGTATGTGCTTCCAGGTGCTATGGAGTTAGAGATCCAGAAAGGAATCAACTTTGGGGTTTGGACCCTTTTACGCACCTCCTACTTAAGAAGCAGTTAATTTCTGGGGCTTGGCCAGTTGGTTGACATTTAAGATCTGTCTCAGCTGGTGTCTGGGTTCAGGAATGCAAAGCAGGATCTAACAGTGACCCAAATCTCCCCTCAGAGCTCTCCATTGCAAAGTCACCACCATCCATGATTTAAAGGGATATTGTCAGCTTTATTTTTTTTTTAAATAGCCTAATTCAGAAATCTCAAGTTTCTGTTAGCACACCCTTTCAATAATACATCCAGATTTTTTTTCTTTATACCTTTCTTTAAAAAATGAGAGGGAAAAAAGTAAGATTTTTCTGCTTCAGTGCTGATGTTTACAAGGAACTTTTCAGCAAGGCTGAGAAACAATACCAAAGATAACCTGAGCTTCCTGTCTCATGTATCTACAAGACAGTGACAATATACAAAGTGCCACCAAATGCACTAAAAGAACAAACTGAAAAATAGTGAGAAATCATATATTTAGCTAATTTATTTCAGTATTTAGCAGCAATAATAGGCAAAATATTTCCTAGTAAAATGTCATTTTTTTTCAAGTTGGTAGTATAATGTAATCATTTAGGATTTTATTATGGAGATCTGGTTTGATAATTTGGTTGGCACGATATTGGCACAGATTCTTCCAAAGAGGTACTGCAGTGAACCTGTCCTGGGAGATTGCTGGGAAGGAGATATAGCTTTTTGTATCTGATCTAGTGCAAGAGCTGCCTAGTGTCAGGGCTGGGCTGTGGGTGGCTTGTGTGCACCGGTCAGCTACTAAATTGCAGTCAGGAGATGAGTAGCGGTGTCAGGGTCAAGTTAGGTCAGGATACCTGGAAGTCAGCATCAGGCCCCAAGTTATAGACAGCATGCAAATAGCAGAGTTAGGGACAAACTAGGGTCAGAAGCCAGAGCAAAGAAAGGCCTGGAGCAAAAGCAAACAGGCAATCTGTATTGTTGCTCAGACAGCTCCCCATGATGGCTTCCCAGTTTATAGAGCAGCATAAGCCAACTAGTGGGCTGTCAGAGGCCGCCAATCAGGCCATGCAGAGCGGTACTTCCTGAAGAGCCTAGCTTCATAGGGTCCTCCAGCGGAAACCCAGCCCAAGCTTCCAATGACGATGCAGAAGTATCAGTGGCCTAGAACATCCCAGGTTCTAGTCCTGCTGGTTGTTCTTCAAGTGCTTGCTCATGTTCATTCCATATTAGGTGTGTGTGCTCGCCACATGCACCTGTGCTGGAAGTTTTTCTTTCAGCAGTATCTGTAGGGGACCAGCTCTGGCGCCCTCTGGAGTGGCGCCCGCACGGTGCGATATAAGGGGTGCCGCCGGCTCCCCCCACCCTCAGTTCCTTCTTGCCACCAGTGACGGTGCTGGAATGTCTGCTGCTTTGGCTAGTGTTACCTGTTCTCTGTTCTTGTGAACTTAAATAACCTGTAATTTAGTTGTATATAGTTAGTAGTTAAAATAGTTACCCTTAATTGTAGTTTAGAGTCTTTGTGAGTTCTGAACGGGACTTATCCTGGGGACAGGGCATGTGCTACCTCCAAAAACAAAGACTCAAGGAGGCTGAATCTTTTTGGACGCAAAGTTTATTCATCTTCCAGCCTGCAGTTGATTGTGGCCAACCACCAGGCCCTCCTGGGCCGCTGTGACTTTAACATGTGGCAGACCATGGCCAAGTTCAAGGGTTCCCTTCCTGGAAGGAATTCTGAGTGATCCTCGGTGAAGGCACGGCCAGGGTGGCCTTCCAGGCAGCATCTGACGCAGCGGACTCTGCCACCCACTCCATGGGCTCCGCCCTCTCCATGTGGCACGCTTTCTGCCTGCTCCTCTCAGGCTTATCCAGTGAAGCTCAGCAGTCAATGCAGGACCTTCCCTTCAACGGCCAGACCCTGTTTGCAGAACAGACAGCAAGCTGCATGGTTTAAAGGACTCCCTTACCACCCTGAAAACTCTGGGGCTTTATGTCCCAGGTCAGACGTGTAAGCGGTTTAAGCCGCAGCAGCCTCAGGGACAAGAGAGCCAATCTTGGCAGGACCTGCCTCACAAGAAAGCCAAAGGCTACAAACGCCGTCCGAGCCACACTCCTCCACTCTCTGCTCAGTCGGGCTCAACCCGAAACAAGCAGGGGGCCAAACGATCATTTTGAGGGTGTGCCCGAAGGCAACCTACCAGACCAGTGGTCAGAAACTTGTGGACTGCATACAGCCCATCAGGGTAATCCGGGCCATGAACAGTGTTTACATTGATCGTCCATAGGCACGGTCGCCTGCAGCTCCCAGTGGCCATTGTTCACCATTCCCGGCCAATGGGAGCTGCAGGAAGCAACACAGGCTGCAAGGACTTGCTGGTTGCCACTTATCACAGCTCCCATTGGCTAGGAACGGCGAACCGCAGCCACTGGGAGGTGCGGGTGGCCTTGCCTGCGGACGGTCAATGTAAACACTGTCTCACGGCCCACCAGCAGATTATCCTGATGGGCTGCGTGCAGGTCGCAGGTTGCCCCCCACTGCAGCAGGCTATTCCCTGGATCCATCTTCCCCGTTTTTTATACCTTTCTGTGAAATCCTACTCGCCTCCATTGGTACTGCTTGGGAGTCATCTAATACGGAATGGACATGAGCAAGCACTTGAAGAAGAAAAGGCAGTTACCTTTTTCCGTTACTGTTCTTCAAGATGTGTTGCTTATGTCCATTCCATGACCTGCCCTCCTTTCCCACTGCTGGAGTTCCGGCAAGAAGGAACTGAGGGATGGGGGAACCGGTGGTACCCCTTATACCGCGCCATGCGGACACCACTCCAGGGGGCGCCAGAGCTAGTCCCCTACGGATACTACTGAGAGAAAAACTTCCAGCACCAGTGCACATGGCGAGCACACACCTAACATGGCATGGACATGAGCAACACATCTCAAAGAACACCAGTTATGGAAAAAGTTAGCTGTCTTTTCTTACACCTAGTCACAAAGTATGGTTAATTTGATCTACCTGGTGTGAAATTCCCTGGGAGGGACTAAAATTTGAGAGCTGCTGGAGATTGAGCTAGACAGAAGAAGAAGATGATACTGGTAAGTAAAGGGAGCCTCTGAGGATATGTCTACACAGCCCATGGCAGCAAATCTCTCAGCCTAGGTCAGCAGACTCAGGCTTGCAGGGCTCATGCTAGAACTCTAAGAACAGCTGAGTAGATAGTGTGTTGATTAGACTCAGGCTCTGAAGCCTGCCCCCCTCAAGAGGCGTCAGAGCCTGAGCTCCGGCCAAAGCCGCAACTTCAAAGTGCTGTTTATAGATGTACTCTTAGAGCACTAATGCAAGCCGTTCAGGCCTGAGGCCGTCAGCCTGGGCTGTGAAGAGGTGCCCTGAAAGATTTGGCAGGCATTGCCTGCTGCCTTTGCTGATCGATTTCCAGCCTCGTTCGTCATATTCGGAAACAAGGGCCAAACAGTGATTTGGCTGCATGTTTAAAGAGGGAAAGAGGAAATGTCTTAAATAGTCAGGACCCAAACTATATAGGGCTTTCTAGATTAATATCAACTCCATGAATGCAAAAAGGAAGCCAGTGCAATACATGCAGCACATGGGGTATGTGCTAAACACTGATTGCACTACTAAATAGATAGCCCATCATTTTCTGCGCTACACGAAGCTCAGGAGCCGTTTTCAAGGATAGTCCTAAACAGCGTGTGCTAAAACAGTTAACCCCAGAGGGTGTCATAGAGATTCATGGCACAACATAGAGAAAGACACATCAAGCTATGGTGGCTGGGTTAAAAGCACTGACTCACTGTTTTTACCTGTGATTCCAAAAGTATACTGACGTCTACCATTTCCCCTCATTCAAAAAGTAGAATTGGTTTTAGACAGAAAGTTCTTGGTGTCGGGTTCTCCACTCCGGAATTCACATCTGTCGTCTGGTTTCCAGAACTCCATGTCAAAGTATAATAAGGCCCATCTCTTTTCTCAATCTTTGGGCCAATTTAGAATTATTTTGGTGGAGTGGTCAGGATCCTACCCATGGCTCTCTGATAAATATTTTAATGACGTTTTAATGATATCAGAGAATAAATGCTATAATAGGCACAATACATACCTTGGTGAATGCCGTCCCTGATAATGACATTCCTGTGAGACAGTTTCAATAGCTGGAAAACAAGGCAGGGGAGTATCATAGACTGAGCTCTGAGAACCAACAGGTCTAGGTGGCTGTGTAAAGACAAACTTGGCATTAGTAGAACTCACTTGCAATAGAAGGTAACCTCCATAGCTGTAGAGACCAGGAATATTTACAAACTTACCAAAAAAGAGTGCTACCATATTTAAATTATTGTGCCTGACTTGTTTGTTCTTGCTGTATGATTGTTGTTCAAAAATGCCTTTTTTTAACATCATTATAAAAATTGATTGGGCCTCACAGTTGTATTAAATTGGTTATTAACCATATTTCCTCGAGTGCGTCCTCATGAAATGCTGAGTACAAAAATCAAGAAATTGTTTTCATTCCTCTCTGTTGATGTTTTCCACATTTGTCTTTCATGAGGGTGTGGGAAGTATATTTAGAGTCTGTTTTCATAATTTCTAAAAATTTAAATCAAAATTCTGCTTTGTCTTTCCTTGAATTTTCTGATACGACATGTCGCTAAACTATTTTGGATTATTTTACTTAATAGAGGGAAAGGATGAAGAGCTCTTTCTTCCTTTTGTACACCTTTCATCAGTTCTTACATTGTATTGACCTCACATACTGTTTAGTAGAGACTGCTTTATTATTCTCTTTTGTGTATTGAGCACTTTAAAGAGGAAGAGTTTACCAGCTAATTCAAAAACAGGCAATAAATTTTGAATGTATGCAATTCCATTCCCAGAGCTCATCAATGCTATTCCACCTTTTTAACTACATATTTATGGCCATCAAAAAGTCTCAATCCCAAAGCTGAGGAACAGTAACAAATTTTGGGATGGAGAGTGCAAATGACAATTTGTTACAATTCTCCCAAATTTTACTGCTATCAGCAAACCTGTTCACCCACCCATCTGCATGACCCCTTTTATTACAAAGTAACATTTTCAAAAACACCCTATGTCACATTTTCTGAAGTGCCTTTCATGAGACCCACTACATACAGAGAGCTCCAATTCTAAATAATAATCTTTACTAGGCCAACTCTATGTGGAAAAGTAATGTTAAATGATATTATGGGATTTTCAACATTCCCAATAAATGCAGTTGGTATTGTTTAACTCCTTACATCTTCCTCTGAAACTACCTTCAGGACCATAATTTTAAAAAACAATCTTTATATTTAATTGAGATGATAGCCAGACATGGCATAGTCCTGGTCTAAATATTCATGGGCCAGATCCTGATCCCCACGTCAGTGTGCAAAGCATCCAGAAAGTCAATGGATCCAACTCCATGAGGAGTTCGTCTATACAGGGGACACTCTCTGATGGCAGAGGACCACCACATCAGCTCCTACACTCCCCACAACCCAAGTCCCAGCATAGGGGGTGTCAGGGTTCCTTCCCCACTCTGAACTCTAGGGTACACATGTGGGGACCCGCATGAAAGACCCCCTAAGCTTATTCTTACCAGCTTAGGTTAAAACTTCCCCAAGTTACAAACTTTGCCTTGTCTTTGAACAGTATGCTGCCACCACCAAGCGTTTTAAAATAAGAACAGGGAAAGAGACCACTTGGAGACATCTTCCCCACAAAATATCACCCCATGCCCTACACACCCCCTTTCCTGGGGAGGCTTGAGTATAATATCCTAACCAATTGGTTACAGAATCATCAAAGACCCAAACCCCTGGATCTTGGAACAATGAAAAAATCAGTCAGGTTCTTAAAAGAAAGATTTTATGAAAGAAAGAAAGGAAGGAAGGAAAGAAGGTTAAAATCAGGATGGAAAGGGTATTCAGATTCAAAACACAGAGGATCCCCTTCTGGGCAAAACCTTAAAGTTACAGAAAACAGGAATAAACCTCCCTCTTAACACAGGGAAAATTCACATAAAACAAAAGATAAACTAATCCGCCTTGCCTGGCTTACCTATACTGGTTACAATATTGAGACTTGGATTAGGATGCGTTGGAGAAGATGGATTTCTGTCTGGCCTCTCTCAGTCCCAAGAGAAAACAACCACATAAACAAAGAGCACAAACAAAAGCCTTTCCCCACCCAAGATTTGAAAGTATCTCGTTCCCTTATTGGTCCTTTGTGTCAGGTGCCAGCCAGGTTAGCTGAGCTTCTTAACCCTTTACAGGTAACAGGATGTTGCCTCTGGCCAGGAGGGATTTTATAGCACTGTATACAGAAAGGTGATTACCCTTCCCTTTATATTTATGACGGGGCATGTCTCGGAAAATGTGGGCGTGAATGGCTGGGTGACCCCTGGCTGCTGGAATGACCCGTGGAGCAGTGGCCAGCTGGCATAATGTAGAGCAGCCTTAAGGTTATGCTACTTATATACCAGGGACTGGCCGGGCATCCACCTGCTGGGCACTATTCAGATGCAGCCCAGGATGGGGATTTATATTTTAAATCTATAGATATTTAACTAATGAAAGATTTTTTTTTCTTCCGTTGACATGGAATTCATAATGCTATGCTCGTGTCATCAATCAGCCAGAGTTCTGAATCTGCAGAATCAAGTACTTAATGATCAGATCCAAGAGTAATCTCCAGAAAGTGCTTAGAATTAAGGCCAAATCTGAGAAGTTTTGTACTTTTCATGACATTTTCCCCCTTTAGCTTTCCTGTTATGGAAGTCACATGAAATCAGCAAGCAGTCTTAAACTCAGTCTTGGAAGGTATTATAAAACTGCAGCACTCTGCACTTGCGTATGTCTCAGAATGAGGGCGTCTGGCATTTATTTGGTTTGAAAAATACAGGTCAGATCTGGCATCTGTGCTACATGCTGTAAATCAGCATTTACTAGGCAAATTGTTCAGTCGCTTAATAGAGCTACTCCAAATCTTTGTTTCTCAATGGAAAATTGATGAGATGCACTACAAAGCTGATGACATATAGACATTTGATATGGTATTGCGAAGGTAGACACGGGGTATAAAAGAAATGATGGTTTTCTTCATTATTCATGAATGTAAATGGCCGATTTCCATTAGGATAGCTGCAGAATCATTCTCAATAAATGTTATGATTTGCAAGGTATGTCTTTTGCTGAATATGTGCTTTTTATTTTATTTTCCTATAAAAATTGTTGAAAAATCTCTGGACCCATTTTCTTTGTTTCCTTCTTTTCAGGACTATGATTTAAGTCAGCTTCAGCAACCCGATACCATAGAACCAGATGCCATCAAACCTGTGGGGATCAGACGGCTCGATGAAAGACCAATCCATGCAGAACCTCAGTACCCAGTCAGATCAGCTGCTCCTCATCCTGGGGATATCGGGGACTTCATTAACGAGGTAAAGGAGAAAAAATAGTTTCCTTGTAGGATCCGATAGGCTTTTATATGTTGCTAATTGCACTCTGCATGAATAGCTGTTATATTTGGAACATAATAACTTTTTAAAACTTGCTTATACAATTAAAATGACCTTGGAAGATAGAAATAAATATGGCCTTTTTAAGTGCAGATAAATTTAATTAACTCATTCAAATAGAAAGGGAAGATATGTCAATTAACTTTTGTACATTTGTATTAATTGCATTCATACTGTGTTATCAGCCTTAACCACAATATCTCCAAGAGGGATTATACCATGGGTTCCGAGTAATAAACAGACTAACAAAATTATAATTTAGCCTAAAATCATTTATTAATGCAGATTAATTTAATAATGGAAGAAGTTCATTTTGATTTTCCTCACATATTACCCTTTGAATCCAGATAATAGTGGAAATTCAATGCCTTGAAAAAGACCAAAAGAGTTCCAGCAAACAAGATTAGTGAGTAGGGCAGCTAAATTAAATGTTATATAAGTGCTTTAAGTACTTTCCTCGTCTGAGAGTTTTTAAGAGGCTCTGCGCCTTTTTGATTCTTGCAAAGTAACAAAAAGATAATTGACAGTGAATGAAGATTAAGAATTTACTTTAAAAGATATTTTCAGTTATGAAAAAAATATTTGCCTACAAACATTTTTTTAAATTATTGTTATCGTTGTCCAAATGTTCGGGTATATTTAAGTCATTTGTTTTGTGAAACTTAAAATGTGAGACATTTCAGTGTGTTCTTTATGCTTATTACTTTGGGCAGAAGAAATATTAAAGAATAGCTTGTCATTTATATTCTCTGATTTTCTCAAGTCTTTGTTACCTGAATAAACAATTTAAGGTGACTGGTGAATGGAGCTAGGAAAATTTTACAGAAATACTCTTGTGAATATTTGAATTTTTTAACAAAATCCCTGTTGGGATGTTCATACCTCTTTTGTGCTTGCTAGAATATTTGTTGGATGCAACAAGATTACTCCCAGGAATGAACGCAGAGACCTCCATTTCTAAGTAACCATTGAGAGAATATTAGTATTTACTTTCAATGAGCATTCAAAATCTGCATTAGAAATCTGATTCTGAGAGTAGCATTCTTTGAATCAGGGCAGAAACCAACCATGTGACAAGGTGGCCAGTCACACAGCTAACATTTCAAATAATAAATATCTGAGAAGATCACAATCTGCTTTTGGACAGTATGGAATCAAGAGGGGGAAAAGGTGACATTCATCATGGGTCCCTTGTTTCCATCCCCTCTCTGGGGATGGTTCTAACTTCCTTGCACAGCCAAACAAGGGCTATTGATGGTCTAGCTCCATTTTAAGTATTTCTTACATATTATTTATCCAGCTGTTCTTGTGACATAGTTTCTGCGTGCTGTACAATGATGTTATACTATCCAGTCATGATTTATTGTGAATGTGGACATGCTGAGCCATGGAAAAGGGAAATCGAGGCAGGAGACTACCTTCAAGGCACCTTCTCCTCGTGGCCTCAGATTGGCTGTGCAAGTGGTTGCCTGCCTTGAATTCCCTCTTCTGGTGATTTCTGCCCAGGGATGGATTGCCTGCCTGCACCCTCCTTCATAAAGTCATGTGGTGGCCCTGGGTGGGTGCCCTTCTGCAGCAGGCCACAGCATGACTGGACTGCCTTCCTTATTTGCCTCTCACATGATGGAGTCCCCAGTAACTTCACACAAGCTCTTCACGTATAAATAGCTCTTCTCCAAGGTTAATTTATTTCAGAAGTCCAATATATGAAGAACCATAATCCAGAATTCCCCAGCACAATCCAAACATCAAGTCTTTCAAGGCCCAACAGTCCATCAACAGACTAAGTACAGCTCCGGCATCCACCTCACTCCAGCTCTAAAGTACAGCTTCAGCGTCTCTTGCCTCGCTTAGACTTTCAGATACTTTCTGGTGTCTCTCACCACTCCTCACACCAACCCCACTAGTGGGGTGCTTCTCTACCTTGTTTCCTTCCTGGGTAGGGTTCCAGTACTTGCCCAGAAATACCAGCGAGCTGACCCCTCCGTCGATCCCCAGACTCGACCCTCTCTGGCCCTCTGGCTTCAGCTCTCTTGCTGAAAGAGCCAGCAGACACCTCCCTCTGTTGCTATCTCTGGCTCTCTGGCCTGGGGATATTTGTAGGTGACCCCCTGGCAGCCTTCCTGCCTTCCGCTTTCACCAGCTCCACTGGTCCCTGTATTAGGGGCTTCCCCTCCCTGAAGCTCTGAGCTCTTTCTCCTCTCAGAACTCTGGATTCTCTCTTTCTCTCTAAGGACTCAGCATTCTAAACTCTCCCTTGCCTTTGGAGTGTCTCTCATTTCTAATTTCTAGGGACATTACACCAAACTAGGGCGCACCTGGATTGGAACAGGAGAGCTGGGCCCAATTCCATTTAAGGGGCCAGCTACCCAGTTACAATTATGCTTCACTGTTATGCTTTTATTTTTACTTTGCAATATAGGGAGCTGTTCCAGCAAACCCTTACTCACATGAGTAAACTTCTACAGATGTAAGTGGTACCGTTGACTGCTACATACGTAAGGGTTGGTAGACTGATCCTTGAATATGTAATAAATTTCAGAAACACATCATTTTATTTTTAAGAAGTCTTTATTTCAGTTACTTTTCTGATGCTGAAAGGCTTTTTTTAAACCATTTAGACTCAAGTTTTCAGCACCTTTCTTTTGCAATCCTCACTGCAGTGCATCATTCTAGCACATGGCATCCCCCGTCAGCCATAAACAATGAACTACACCTCTTCCTTGTGGAAGCTGGGGACAGTCCAGTGTTGTTGCAGGGGCTCTTCAGACTAAGCCATGCCCCTCATGACCATCTGCCTCAGGTTTTGCCTGTTGAAAAAGTTGGAGGTTTGGCTTCTCCTGAACAATTGTATTATAATTTCAATTTTAATTTATGTTTCAGCAGTGGGAAGTCTCTTTCTGTTCACAACACACTTAATGTTTTATTTAGCAAAGCCTCAGGTGCTCATAAGTCTTTCCTTAAGTACTCAAATGGATGTTAATGAGCTTGGAAATCAGGAAGATGTCTTTTCAGGTGGTTCCCAGGGCCCCATGGCAAGCTCTTTGTCCAGTCAGGGTATTGCAGCCTCACACCCATTTGCGCAGGGCAGCAGTCACACATGAGAATCTACAACAAAAGAGTTCCCTTCTCCCCCCGGCAGTGCTTCTGAGGAGGGCAAGATCTCTGCATCCGGCGATGACCTGGAAAGCCATACACTCAGGTTTTTCCCCTAGTGCTTTAATACTACAATTGCAAGGCAGTAAAACAGGCAAAATGAAAGAAGAAGGTCCCAAAATTAAGGGGAAATATCTTCCCACGAAACAAAATTAGATGTTTCCCCTACTTTCCTCCTTGGAGGACATGGCAGGTTCCAAATGGGAAGTCCCAGTTAAAATTAAAATGTTAAATAAAATCATAAAAATCTCATACATTTACATGAAGTACAACAGGACCCTAAAGTTAGAACAGGAGTAGCCTCACACAGACTTATATACAAAAAATCACTGAGACTTTAAGACAAAAGACACCTTGTAGGGAGTTCTTTGAAGCCCTCATCACCAGCCATGTAGATAGTGGTAGCAATCACAGACGTTGCAGGATCAGCAACTTTACAAGGTGTGGATCTAAAGATCAAAAGGATTCCTTGTCATTATTGAGGAAAATATATTTATGGTAGCCCGGTGGCTTATTGGCCTCAGAGAATTATTCTCGCTTTGTGCAGATTTGACTGGGTTCAGATTTTGGACAGGTACACCCAAAGTTTATGTAAATTATGGGTCTTAATGTGATTTGCTTCAAGAGCAAGGTCTCCAGTTCAGTGGCTACAAGGAAGTGGTGCCTACATCCATG